CGCTGCTGCTGCTGCTGCTGCTGCTGCTGCTGCTGCTGCTGCTGCAGGGGACTCTCGGGGGACTTTGCTGCACAGCGAGGGTTCCTTCACTTTGTTGTCTCGAGACCACAAACCCACAGCCCCCGAAGAGCTGCGGAGAATAAAAAAGGCCGGAGGGTTTGTCTCCGCGGGCCCCACATCTGTCCCCAGAGTTGATGGCATCCTCGCCCTCTCCAGGGCCTTCGGAGACGGAGTCCGCTGCTGCTGCTGCTGCTGCTGCTGCTGCTGCTGCTTACGCTGCTGCTGCTGATGCTGATGCTGCTGATCATGCTGGTGGTGGTGGTGGTTTTGGTGGTTTGGGTCGTGGTGGTGCTGCTCCTAGTGGTTTTGCTGCTGCTGCTGCTGCTGCTGCTGCTGCTGCTTTGCTGCGGGTGTTTCTGTTACGGCTGCTGCTGCATTTTTTGCCGTTGCGAGGCTGTTCTTCCTCGCATTTTACAGCAGTGAACAAGTGCTTGATTGGCATTTAAATAATTTATTTATTTATTTATTTATTTATTTATTTTTGATTTAGTTTTTCAAAGACAACAAAGACTTGAGTCCCACGGAGCAGCGGGTGGTGGCGGTGCCGGACGTGCACGTGTTCTACGCGAAGCCGGGCGACGTGATGATGTTGGCGTGCGACGGTGGGTGGAAAGCGGAAAAAAAGGACAAATGAGCAAATAAATAATTAAATTAATCAAAAATAAGTGTTTTATTCGTTTTTATTTTGTTTTTTCCTTTCGTTCGGCACTTTTCCGGCGACCGGGCGACACAAATTCAGTTTCCAACGCCGGGTGTACAGACACCTCAGCTGCTGCTGAGGTGTACAGACACCTCAGCTGCCGCTCAGGTGTACAGACACCTCAGCCGACGCCGATTGGCGCCAGTGCAAAACTAGAAGTTGCCGTTTTTAATTATTTCATTTATTTGCTTGCACTGCACTTGCAGCTAGGGTTTTGCGGCTTCCCGAGGGTTCATCGCCTGGGCCGGGGGTTTAGGGTTTAGGGTTTAGGGTTTAGGGTTTAGGGTTTGGGGTTTGCGCAGGGGTCTACGAGCCGGAAAACATGGACTGGGTCTTCGTCTCGCACTTCGTAATGACTCTTCTTCATGAACTTCAAAACGATTTGACAGAAGCAGCAGTTAAGCTCCTCGAACAGGCTTTCCATTCTTTCTCTGGAGACAACATTTCTGTGCTTCTTACGAGGTTCGCGGCGAGGGTTTAGGGTTTAGGGTTTAGGGTTTAGGGTTTGGGGGTTGCTGCGGCGTGGGGCCTGCGGTCGAGGGTTTCGGGGTGGGCGCTGGCTCCTGCAG